ATACCTGGCAGGGGAGATACCATTATTGTAAAAGTGGTTTTCCCAGGGTAAGGCTCATCTACTGCACTCTGGATGTGCTGACCCCTGTGATTTCCCCAAATATGGGAAAATCAACTGCCTAAGTGGGGGACTGTGTTTATGGTTTCCCCTGGTCTTTCTAGAATCACCCTTTCCCCTTTGGTCCTTGGCTGTTTTCACTGCCTGCTGCCATAGGCCTGTTGGCCTTGCTGGTTTTCCAGGTGGGCTGCAGGAAGCTAGCAGTGCAGAATGGTGAGGTCCAAACAGCAAGCAGTCTCTGGTGCCAGTTCAGAGGCCTCCCAGCTTGGCAGTGGGAGGCTTCTGGGTGGTGGTGGCTGAATTTTTTTTTTTTACTGTATTTACTCCATAAGACGCACATACTTTCCCCCCCTCTATTTGAGGGGGAAGGGCATCTTATGGAGTGAAAAATATGGTACCTGTTGTTCCTTTTCTATCTTGACTCCCTACTTTAGCATCCCAATCCCCTATAATGACAAGATCATCTTTGGTGTCAGTTCTAGAAGGTGTTGTAAGTCTTCATAGAACTGGTCAATTTCAGCCTGTTCAGTATTGGTGTGCATAGCATAAACTTGGATGGCTATGATGTTGAAAGGTGTGCCTTGGATTTGTATTGAAATCATTCTATCATTTTTGAGATTGTATCCCAGTACAGCTTTTCCCACTCTTTTGTTTGTGGGCTACATGCAGTATTTTTCTTTGCAGCATCGGACGATCCTTTCACTTCGAGGCGTGTCCTCAGCTCAACGTCCTTTTGGCTTTGGTCCAACCACCTCATTAGCTCTAGAGCTACTTGTCCTTGTCCTCCGCTCTTCCTCAGTAGCATATTGGACGCCTTCCGATCTGAGGGGCTCGTTTTCTAGCGTCATATCTTTTAGTCTTTTGTTTCTGTTCATGTGGTTTTCTTGGTAAAGATATTGAAGTGGGTTGCCAGTTCTTCCTCCAGGTGGATCATGTTTAGTCAGAACTCTCCACTATGACCTGTCCATCTTGGGTGTCTCTGCACGGCATAGCTCATAGCTTCTCTGAATTACTCAAGCCCTTTCGCCACGACATCGCAGCAATCTATGAAGGGGCTTGTAGTGTCTACTCCACCACTTAAAAAAAGGACAACTATGCTAGCTATCCTATGCAACTCTTTCTCTTTGCTTGCCTCTCTTCAACATGCACATAAATGCATATCCTCTCAGTCTTTATACCTCCAATAGTCACTGTGTATGTTTGTTAAATATCAGAAAACTATAGGGAGCATTTTCATTTATGTTGCTCTTTGTCAGCAAAGAAGGTTCTGCACAAAAGTGGCTTTTTAAATTATTCTCTTGTGTTAAAGTGAAATGTGCTTTGTGTATTGCAGTTATAGGGTCTACCTTACACTGGACTGGACTGTTTTCCTGCCTGTCCCAGAAGTCTTCTCTGTTGACTTTTTGTAATTGAAACTAGAGGCCTTTCCAGTTCTGCTGCCTTTTAATCTGGAGATGTCAAAGACTGAGATCAAGAGCAGCTGCATTCAAACAATGTGCTTTGCTGTAGTACACGCAACCCATCTGTCCTTGTGAACACCATCAGACATTCCCCAAAATACACACATTTAATTGAGGCTTCTGTAAAATTTCTAGGGTAGATCGGAGTGAGCTGAAGCACCATTTCATTTAATACAGAATCAGATCAATTAGACTGGGTGCCAGATGGGCTGCAGAATTGCTCAAGGTGTTTGTCATGTCTTCGCAGGTCCTACAGCAAGCAGAGGTCTGCTATTGAGAGAGAATATGGGCAGGTGAGAAAATGCAAGGTTTCCAAACTATCTGAAATATGTTATATGTTTTCATTTAGATGATACTTGTGATCAAAGAAATAACAGTGGGTTTGGAATGAAGTAATATGTTATATGTTTTCATTTAGATGATAATTGTGATCGAAGAACTAACAGTGGGTTTGGGATTAAAGCGATATGTAGCCACTAGCTTTAGCTGCAGTCATCTCCCCATCCCCCAGTTTCCAGCTCAAGATAACAAATTGTGTCAAAAGATGGATGTAAGATACTCTTATCCCTTCCACTGTATGTCATCATCACTCTCCTCTGGCTGAAGCAAGTTACCCAGAGGACACAGACCTGGCATTGGAGCTTTCAGCCAGTGCATCTTGAGGTCAGACGTAATAATCCTTTAATGCTCCAGACTTGAGCTATACCTTTCTAGCAGAGTTCACTCAAGCTGTTCCTGGAATATTAGCCCTAACTATCAGGATGTCCATTTCACATGACTCTTTAAACCAAAAGACTGATAAATTCCATGTGATGAATGTAGCTGAAGTCATCTGTGCTTGGATTTTTGCACAGGGCAAAGTATCTTGCAGGCAGGAATACCTGATGCATTGCTACAATGAGACATGACCTTTTAATTAAGCACTGGAGGAATACCTGATGCATTGCTACAATGAGGCATGACCTTTTAATTAAGCACTGGCACTTAGTATAGATTTGATTCTTATTTGTATTGTTTTTGAAAGCCCTTGTAACCATTTAATGGAGTCTTCCGTAAGTAGAGGGTCCACTGTATAGATTTGGTTCTTATTTGCATTGTTTTAGAAAGCCCTTGTAACCATTTAATGGCATCTGAGTGTAATGCATGGTTGAAACCAACACAGCCAGAAGGCAGGATATCCTCTTTACCATTGATACAACAAGCATCTTCCCCTCGTATGCGACTAACGTTGCCAGCAGAATCCTACACTTTATATCTGTTGTTCCCATCTAATCCCCAATTCTCTTTGGATTTCATAAAAGGACTGCACAAAGTGACAGCTTTTCCTTGTGTGTCTCTGCTCAAAACCAGATTCTTACCCCTTGGGATCCTCATTGATATTATACAGCAGTGGTGGCGAATCTTTTTGGGCTCGTGTGCCCAAACTGGGGGAAAAAAACCCCAAAAACAGCAGCTGGTGTGCCGCCACCGTGACAGTGGCGGACCTGGAACCAGAAGTGGCAGCGGAAGGGGGAATCCCAGCATGGAGATGCCTCAAGGCCCCTCCTCTGCCAGCACCAGTTGCTCCGGATCCGCCTGCTGAAGCGCCAGCACCAGCTGCAGTCGCCTCCTGAGTTTTGGCTGCGGGGGGGAGTAGCAATCTGGTGACCTATGGCTTGCATGCCAGCAGAAAGGGCTCTGCATGCCAGCTCTGGCATGCATGCCATAGGTTCGCCATCACTGTTATCCAGGAATAGGTTAAAAGATCCCTTATAGCAGGGGTCCCCAATCCCCGGTCCGCAGCCCTGTACTGGTCCGTGACCTTGGCAGGACCAGACTGCGGAGACAGATCTCCTCCCACCCCCACACACATTCCCCACACACACGCCGCACAGGTGCTCTGCACAAGCACAACCCACCTACCCGCACATGTGCAAGTGTGCACCCCACCTGCAAGCATGCCCTGTCCATCCATGCATGCATGTGAGCGTGCCCCACCCACCCGCAGATACGTGAGCAAGCACCCCACCCACCCACCCACGGACCCTGACCTCCCAACCAGTCCGTGGTTCAGAAAAGGTTGGGGACCACTGCCTTATAGTATCATATCTCTCTTATGATACCTTGTCTGCTGTCATCCTGTTCAGTAGCAACAGATTTTTCTTCTTAGTTTTAATTCATGGGAATCTGTTGCTGTTTATCTAGCTGTACTAGAAGTAATTGGACTGCCCTTTCAAGAGCTCCAACTATGTATTTTCCATCTTCTAGACATGAAAAAATGGACTTGAATGTAGGAAGAAGGACTTGGATCTTCTAGGTTTAGTTCAAATATTCAACAGAATCAAATGTGAAGCTTTTTGTAGATTGGGCTGCTTCAAGTGGTGGAGTTCCATATTTCAATATATCTCCCCATTACTTTCAGTAATGTGTACACATCAACACATGCAACAGCATTCTTCCTCCACCTTGTTTTAATAAAAGAGGAAGTCAGGACAAGCTTCTAAAAATATATTCAGAACCCAGCCTTAATGACTAAATGGAAGATATCAAGAAAAGAGAGTGTGAATGCCCTCTTCTTTACTATTTCCTCCTCAGCAACTCTTAAAATATGTTTAGAATTTAAAATGCTGTAGTGGTATAATTACTGTACATGTGTTTATGTATAACATACAAGCCCCAATGCATTGCATGTTTTTCTTCAATGTGCTAGTTTTGTGTGCACTGTTGTTGTTTTTCTATAATGGAGAGGACTTTAAAATGCACCACTGCGCATTGTAGCATAAACACTTACAGTGAAGGAAAGACTTTACCACTTGATTCTACTGAATGTCTAAGTGGGCCCTAGGAAGTTCATTCTCTCCCTATTGTGCAACCCATTCCTCCTGTTCAGTTCCTCCTAGTAGCTGCTTACCTGTTGTGCAACTCTGGAGACACTCATGTCTGCAATTCTAGACTTGTATTCTTTTGTATGGCACTGAGCCTCCAAATAGGCATAAAAGGGCAAGAACTGCATGGGCCTGTTGATTCTAAGTAATGGTGGAGTTTGCCTTTTAAGCAGTACTTGCAAATGTTCCCAGGCTCTGCTTTTGAAATAACTTTTCCAAATATTTGAATGTTGTGTCTTTTTTATCAAACATAAATGAACACAGTTTCATGTGCTTTTGTTTTGTTTTGTTTTGTGGCATAAAGGACTAGCTCTTGTGCGTTTCCCCTCAAGGGCATGCTGGAGGCAGCTTGTGCAGTCTGTTCCTGATCTCACTTGTTGTCTCTTCTCTGTTCACTTCTGGACAAAGTTAGGGAAAGCCTCAACCGCCACTTCAGCCCTGCAAATATCCTTCCAGCCTTCCGGTTTTCTTGGCAATGTGTCTGGCCAGATGTCATGGGGAATATTTGTTCCTCTAAGCTTGTCTTTTGAAATAGCAGATTGACACAGTTTCTCAGGGGTGGATCAGCTCTTACAAGGATACAGCTCTTACACCGAGTAATGTAGTAGTACTCTTGGAAGTGCAGGCTCTTGTCAGGATCATTCCCATAGTCAATCCCTCCCCCATAAGGAGGTTTTAAATATGGATGCTATGAGATTGGTCCATATCAATGAATAAGGAGCAGATTTTTTTTTGGTGAAGTTAATGTTTATGGATTGCCCGTTCAAAACTAAATCATCCTCAAATACTTGCATTACAACAGAGATGCAATACTCTGCCTGAGATAGGTCACTTCTTTCTGTGCTACAGTGAGGATTACAGCAAAACTGGGAGGGAACAGAGAGACCTTGGAGGAGGATAGATAATTTCACAGGTCCTGCTTCAATCAGTGGGAGTCCTGCTTCATTACATCACTGGATTGCACCCCTATTGATTCAACTACAGGCAGTTTCTCAACCAGCCCTTTAAGATAAGGGGGGGAAAGATTTTTTTTAAAAAAAAAAACATTGTAACTGATGCAGCACATCAGCAATAGTCCATATCTAGTGAAAACAAATTTTCTCTCTTCCCTGCTCTCTGCCCTAAGCCAATTCCCAATATTGGCAAATTCAGACTGGAAGGTTTGGTTTGCATCAGTCCCAATGATCAGATGTGCCAGAGCCGATCTGAACCAGAGTGATCCTACCCGCACAAAAAAAGTAGAACCCCCTTGGCATGGACCAGAACAGTGCAGGTAGGAATGCTGTAGGAATGACCTGGTGCACTCTAGCATTGTCTGATCACCATCTCTAAGATCACACCAGACCATCCTTGCAGTGCTTCAAACAGCAGGCTGAAATGTCAGCCTCTTTCAAAATGCAGAATTATGCAGCCCAGTCTAAATTACACATTTGAAATGGTGGGTGTGCTTGTAGTCTTGGGTTTATTCAAAAACAAAAAAACAAAAAACCAGGCATGCTGGGGTGTATAGAATCCCTACAAATCATATCTTGTTTTTAACTTGTATCTGTCACTTTTACCTTGAGGCCCATAAATGCTTTTCTAGTGGAACAGGCATTAAAACATTGCAGAAGCTTGGGATATGGGGCCAAGTTTCTGCTTTCTGCTCTCTGTTTAGAAACTCGGGAAAGGGTATCTTGTCCTTCATAAATTCTGTGTCATTTGTGTGATGCACCTGGACCAGCAGAAAGTTGTAATCAGCCTTATATATACAAGGAAACAAGAGGAGCATGTATGTACGTGTTTTGGCAAAGAACATGAAGGGAAGAATGTGGCAACTGACAGAACCCCATGAGATGGGAATTGATGGCAGCAGGACAAGAGACGAGGCAAGGACTGCTTCACATAACCAGTTTGGTAACTCTTTTCCAGTCTTTTTGTATAAATTATACACCTAGGGCAGAATATAGCAGAAAATCTGCACAATAATAATTGCAGAAGTGGTTTATACCCTGGTGGAGTGTCTTTTTTGTGTGTGCACATTGGTTGTGAAATTGGTTGTGCAATGGGGAGCCTGACAAAGACTGCAAACTGCTTGGCAGTGACCTGTGTGTGTGTGTCTGTGTGTGTGTCTGTGTGTGAGAGTGTGTGTGTGTGTGTGTGTGAGTGAGTGTGTGTGTGTGTGTGTGTGAGTGTGTGTGTGTGTGTGTGTGTGTGTGTGTGTGTGGTCCCCAACCCCCACCCCCAGATTCTAGCCGAAGAATTTAGTGGTAGAATTCAACATGAGATTGAATGCTGTTTAAAATACTGTAGCCACAAAGGATGCTGACATTTTCCCTCAGTTAATGAGAAAGATAAGTGAATATAAGACAATGTGATGGTTTGTCCCTTTTAACATGCAAAAAATACTACCCACTTGGAGCATTGAGGTGTGTTGCATCTGAAGAAATGTATAAAAACGGTTTAAAAGTTGCAATTTATTAATAACCTACTGTTTTTAAAAAATTCTTCTTGGGTGCTCCTAGACTTTGATTTGAATGCCTTCTACATAGGCTAGAAGGTGGGTTATTTAGACTGGTTGAATCTTTAAAAAATTATCTTTATGGTGATTCAGATTGTGATCTGAAGGCTCACCAAATCAGCATACTCCAGTCATAGGTTCAGCAATTCCTTCTCAGCAACTTTTTATAACCAATGTTGTAGTTTTAGAAGAGGTAGCTATATTGGTCTGTGCAAGCATATCAGTCAAGAAACCAAACAAGAGATGCAAAAAATGCAAAGTAAAAAAGAAGACAAAAATGTATTGGCATCTTAAAAACTAACTGCTCTATTTTAATACAGCTTTTGTGGATCAAGTCCACTTCTTCAAACATAAGAGTGAGATTACATGATAAACATTTATGCATTTATGCATGACCCCAAATTAAGAGAATGTTTGCTTACACAATCAGCAACTTGTAAGCCTGGTGTTCTTCAATATTTTATTAATGACTTGGTTGAAGGGGTGCAAGGGATGCTTATCAAATTGGCAGATGACATAAAACTGGGTAGAATATACACTGGAAGACTGAAACAAAATTCAGAAAGATCTTGATAAGCTCAAGCATGAGGTTGAAAACAACAGAATGAACTTTAACAGGGATAAGTGCAAAGTTCTATACTTAGGAAGAATAAACCAAATGCACAGTCACAAGATGGGGAATACTTGGCTCAGTAATACTACATGTGGGAAGGATCTTGGAATTGTTGCAGAGCATAAACTGAATATGAGCTAACAATGCAATGTGGCTGCAAAAATAGGTAAACACTATTTTAGGCTGCTTTAACAGAAGTATGTTCTCCAAATCACATAAATTCTAATTCCCTTCTGTCTGGCACTGGTTAGGCCTTATCTTGGGAACTATGTCTAGCTCTGAAAGCTGCACTTTATGAAGGATGCAGGCAAACTAGAACAAGTTCAGAGGAGGGAAAAAAGGATGATCAAGGAACTCGACACAAAGCCTCATGAGAAGAGACTGAGAGAAGCTGAATAAAAGCAGACTGAGAGGGAGATATAATAGCAGTTTTCAAATATTTGAAAGGTTGTCATACAGAGAGGGGCCAGAATTCTTAATCATTCTAGATAGAGTTCAGGACACATAATAATCTGCTCAAGTTACAGGAAGCCAGATGTCAGTAGAATGTGAGGAAAACGTCCTAACTGTTAGAGCAGTACAACAATAGAACCAGTTACTTTGGAGTGGGTGAGTACTCCACACTGGAGCACTCAAATCCAAGTGAGACAGCCATCTAGCAGATATACTTTGATTTGGATTCCTGCACTGTACAGAGGATTTGATGGCTTTGTAGGCCCCTTCTAATTCAATTATTCTATGATGTTAGGATTCAGTAGGTTGATAGAAAATGCAGTCTTGTTTTCAGGTAGGTAAGCAGGAAAATAGGGAGCATGAATGAAGAAAAGTATGGTACCCTTTTGAGTGAGACAGCTCAAGGCCAATTCACAGAAGTTGTGAACAGGAAAAGAACAGCACACTATGCATATGAATCTTCAAGAATAAGATGATACATTGAGGACTTCACTGCTCTGGAAAGTGCTTGCCAAGGAGATAGATACTGCACTAAGTTCCAGATCCTGTACTGGTTCTTTGAAATGATGTAAGAACGGAATGAGCAGGGGTGTGGGTTAATGTTCTGCCGCAAGGTAATAGCACTACTTCTTTCTGATACCCTGGAGTAAGATTATTAATTTTTCATTATACTTTAGATCTCTTCTCTCTTTGAAAAGTCAGAGTAGCTCTCATCAATATAGTGGCTAGACCCGCTTAGCTTTAACCATGCTTCCCAGAGTGGTGCTGATAATAGAAAGACTGACCTGTCATCCTCCCTTTCTGCTCCTTGGCATTGTAGCAGAGTAAATAAGAAAGCAGCTGAGGTTGAAGTTTATATATCTTTGTCTCATGTATTCCTGGAGGCTGTTTTGAGTGGAGGGAGTAATTGGTGCAAAGAAGGAAGCCAGAAAAGAGTTGATAGTCATATTTCCAGAAGAATCAGTGAGATTGACTTCTTTTATGCTGATGTGCTAATTATTTGTGTTGAGCCCTGTTGAAGACTGACAAGTATGGAAAGATGCCATACAGATGTTTAATAAATATTAACTGTGTGTGTATTTCCAGGCATTACAGAGGCTATCAAGTCAGTTTTTGAAGAGAGACTGGCAGCGCAGCTGGAGTGGCGCCAGTGACTCCAGGTTGGCATTGATTTGTGGGATGCGGGGGGAGTTTGGCAAACCTACTTCTCTATCAAAGAGGGCAAATCTGGCTTAGTGGCAAGAAGGAGACCTTTTCAAAAGTAGCAACGAGTGGGTTGCAAAGAAATATTAACTTCAAGCAAGCTTGGGGGGGGGGGTTTCCTAGAGTGGGGAGAATAGAGTACTGTGGCCATTGCAAAGAAATATTAACTTCAAGCAAGCTTTTTGGGGGGTTTTATCCTAGAGTGGGGAGAATAGAATACTGTGGCCAATGCACAGAGAGGAGAGGAGCTTGGTCCACTGCTGGTCTCCTAAGCTTGATGTGAACCTCAGTCCATCATCAGCAACACTCTTCTTAAAGAGTGTACATATGACTAAATACAAATGCCACTGTGTGTCAATTCACTTATGTTTTTGGTCTTTTATATGCTGGGAAGTTGTAGCCTTATCTATTCAGAGTGCTCAGCTCTTTGAATGCAGTAGAAACAGCAAGCAGACCCTCTGGGCCTTTCTTGCCATCCCTTCAACTTACAATGTTTCTGAAAATATGTTTACAGAAAGTAGAAACAACAAAGAGTCTTGTGGCACCTCAAAGACAAAAGGGCTTTGTTTGGCATAAACTTTCATAAACTGCAGGCCACATTACTGATACACACAAGCTTATGTCAAATATAGATTGAAATCCTATTGCTTAGCACAGTAAGTTGCAAGTAGAGTAGGCCCATTGAATTAGTGGAACTTACACAGTAGTTGTTATACCTATTTCTCACTGACTCAATAGGCCTACTCTAGTTGCAACTTTCTGTGCAAAGCAACAGGAGTCCAGTCATAACTTCCTAGTCTTTAAGGTGTCATATGACTCCTTGCTGTTTTTGTTGCAGTGGACTAACATGACTGCTCTTCTTGATGAATTTACAGGGGGAAAAAGAAATTAAATTATGCTTCATATTACCAGGCAATATGTGTGCACATGGGCATGTGAATACAGGCATGCACACACTGGTCCATGAATTGGGGTGCAGATAGCAACTGCCTCATCCAGTATTTTTCTTTTCAAAAATTTTGGAGAGAGAAGAGGGCAGTTAATTACCAGGCAATATGTGTGCACATGGGCAAGTGAACACAGGCATGCACACACTTGGTCCATGAATCGGGGTGCAGATAGCAACTGCCTCCTCCAGTATTTTTCTTTTCAAAGATTTTGGAGAAAGAAGAGGGCAGTTCGCAGGACCAGGAAGAGGGGAAATGAAAAATAAACCTTATGTTATGGCACTTATTGCCTGGAAAGGCAGAATGAAGGGGAAGTGGTTGTAATTCCCAGGCAAATTAGCAGGATCTGAGGAGTCATCTGAAGGGTCAATTTGCAGACAAGACAAGCGGACCTTGAAACAATGCCTGCTTCTCTGTAGCATCCCTTCCCTAACATTACCTGTTTCATGCAGCTAGCCTTTGGTTGTGGCTTCCTGGAACACAGCCCAAGTTGTAGCTGCAAGTTCTCAGTGCCTTTGTGGATAATCTAAAGATAGAAGGGTTGATGCAATAAATAAAAAGGGCAGTGCACTAAAGCACAAGCTTACAGCCCAGATGGAGGTTTTGTAGACAAAGACTGTTAGGCTGAATGCTCAGGATGTGGTTTTAGTGCTTCAGAGGCGTCCTTGTGCTCAGAGCAGACTCTAAATAGCTATGGGGGCCTTGGGGATTCAGTGTGAGTCTGCAGATCCACAGGAAGAGATAGCCAGCCAGCCAGGGTATGCTGTGCTGTGCAGAACTTGCTGTTTGGTACAGTGATGTAGCAAATGGAAAGTGCTGGCATTTCTGGAGAACAGTGCCCTGTTGGTACCTCCTGCAGTTTGCTGCTGCACTCAGTGGACAATGCTTGCTGTGATGTTTCTGTGACATTGTTTCCTGTGGTATCCCTACAGAAGCATCTTTGCAGTCTGGAAGAGTGTGATCGATGGGACCATCTCCTCTGCCCAGACCAGGGTGGCTGCCTCTGACAACTATCGTAATGTGAGCACAGAGGTGGCTAAAACTGCTCGGCTGTCAAAAGAACACTGGTCCAAAAAGGTACTCTTTAGGTGGGCCAGACAGGTCCTGGGAGCAGGTGGGAAATCTGTGCCTGAGCTACCAAGACTTGGGGTGGTGGCTGGGGAGGAGAAAGCACACCAGTTGAGTTCATGGGCATTGAGCAGCCACTGACTGCTTGAACCTCTCCTTCCTCAGGGCATGGAACAGTTGCAGAATACACAGGTTGAACTGCTGGAGACAGTGAAGGAACTCAGCAAAATCAAGAAGCATTACACGCAGATACAGAGGGCCAATGAAATAGCCAGAGAAAAGGCTGCTGATGTGGATGGCAGGTGAGCCTCCAATTGCTCTACATAGGAGGCAGGAAATTTCAGGAATGGACTTGTTGGGTGGAATCCATAGATTTTTCTCAGGGTTCAGGGAGAATGCCCTAGTGCTGAGATCTCCCCATGGCTTACAGCCAGGAGGACTGTGGGAACTGATGCCCATCCTTTTCCCCACAGGCTCAGGAAGAGCGATCATGGCATATTTCATACCAAGGCCAGTTTGCAGAAGCTCAGTGCCAAGGTCAGAGGCCCAGCCTGCCAGCCACGTGAGAACGTGAGCTACCAAGGCCTAGAGCATGTGCACGTGGAAGAAGGGGCTGGCAGGGTGCTTCCAGGTTGTGGGTTCTGGGCCTGGTTAGGGAGTTCTGATACGAAGGCTGCATGGCTCTCTGTTTTCTTCTCTTGCAGTTCTCTGTGCAGCTGGCAGAGAATTCACAGCAGCTGGTGAAGGCACAAAACGAGTACCTTTTGACATTGGCAGCTGCTAGGGCCCATGTGGAGCACTACTATCAAGTGGAGCTCCCAAGTGTCCTGAAGGTAGGAGTTCTTCTTTAAAGCTGTACACACACAGTCCCACTCCCATTCAAGTCTTCTGTTCTCATTCTGAGAACAACTCTGTGGGCAGAGATGTTTTCATTTCTATAGCACCGGCAGTATATGTGGCACTTTACAGAAACCTAAGCAGTACTTAAAATTGTTTAAAAAAACAGGTGAGAAACAAAAATAGAAACTGACAGAAATAGATTCAGAACCCTGAATGTAGCTTTTCATCAACTGTCATGTAGAGACAAGCAGAACTATTATAACGGCTGGTGCAAAGAAACAGAAATGAGGAAAACAAGAGATCTTTTCCAGAAGATCCAAGAAATCAAAGGGAAATATATGCGTAGCTTAGGAATGCTGAATGACCAACAGGGAAGCTCATGATCAGACCAGGGAAAAATAAAGAGAAGGTGGAAATAATATATTGAATATACTCAATACCTATACAGAAGAGATAAAAGGATGATAGATTCCTTTGAAGAGGAATCCCATGGTGAAGAACCTGCAGTACTAGAAGGTAAAATGAAAGCTGCTCTGAAAGTATTAAGAAGAAATAAATCATCAGGGATAGATGGAATACCGATAGAAGTATTTCAAGACACAGAGATTGAATCTATTAAAATCTTAACAAGAATATACCAGCAAACATGGAAAACAAAATAGTGGGTCACAGACTGGGAATATTCAAAATGCATTCCAGTCCCCAGGAAAGGAGATGCCAAGGAGCACAGTAACTATAGAACCATTGCTCTGATTTTCCATGCAAGCAAAGTGATGCTCAAGGTTGCAACACAGGCTTTTTTTTTTGTTACCTTATATGTAATGAGAAATGCTTGATGGATTCAGAAAAGGAAGAAGCACTTGAAAGCATATTGCAAATAGCTGCTGGCTACTGGAGCACACCAAAGAATTTAAGAAGATCAGTCCTTTCTAGACTATAGCAAAGCCTTTGACGATGTGGATCATAAAAAGCTATGGATTGTTCTGTAAGAAATGCATGTGCCTCAACACTTGATTGTCCTAATGTGTAAACTGTATTATGGACAAGAACTACTGTTAGGACAGAGTACAGAGATACATGGTTCTCTATAGGCAAAAGTGTCAGCCAGGGATGCATCTATCATCTTATCTTCTCAGTCTGTACACAGAACATATCTTATGGAAAACTGTACGAAAATGAAGGACAAGTGAAAATGGGGAGGTAGAAACACCAGCAATTTAATTTGCAGGTGACACTATCACATTGTCAGAAAGCAGCAATGACTTGAAATGCAGTGGCAAAGCAGGACTGCAGCTGAACATGAAGAAGACCAACATTATGACTATAGAAGAATTACATCACTTTAATGTTGACAATGAAGAAATTTAAATTGTTACAAATTTTGTATACTCTTGTTCAGTCATCAATTCAAATGGAGACAGCAGCCAAGAAATCAGAAGAAGACTGAGACTTGGAAGGGTAGCAATAAATGAAGTAGAAAAGATCATCAAGTGTAAGGATGTCTCACTGGAGACTAAGACCAAGGTCATCCACACTATTATATTCCAGTTGTTAGGTAAAGGAGTCAAAGCTGGAGAATGGTTGACAGGAAACAACTTGATTCATTTGAAATATGGTATTAGAGGAGAGTTTTGTAGATATCCGGACTGCCAGAAAGATGAACAGGAACCATGAGTAGCTAGTGGTTCCTGATTAGGTCATCTGTATTCCTGTTGTGATTTAAGCCAATGATTCCTGACTTGGGGCACACGTACACCTAGGGGTAAGAACCAAGATATGTAGGGGTATGCAAAAAGAATTTGAATAATAGCAGAAAAAGGCAAATGCATTAGTAGTGTAAGTCATTCATATTCTGGGCAATGAGAAACCCACCAGCTTCTTCCTTCTCTCCCTGCCCACCGCATGATATCCCAGCCAATCAGCTTGTGCTCCAAGGCTGTGTCTGTTCCATCACTAACCCAGGGGCTCATTCCACATTTGCTGCTCTCCTATCAGTGGCAGTTTGTACAGGACAAAATTCCTTATGGATTTTAATACATTTGCTGGCATGCTTCTGCACACTATCAGAGGTGATGAGGAAGTGGCCTGAAGACAAGAGGGCAGAAAGCCCCACCAAGCCCCACCACCCCAATATGAAGGGTACAATGTATGGAAATGGACTGCAAAGGGGCATGCAAGTGAAAAAAGTTTGGGAATCACTGATTTAAGCTGAAGAGCCTGATCCTTCTGCCAGGAGTCTTAATTGTATCCTCTTCAGTTAATCACACAGGGATGTGACAAGATAGTGGGGAAGTTCCTGGCTGAAAGATGGAGAGAGGGATGCTCAACCCTTATAAGCCCCTGCTAGAATTGAATCAGTTTTCATTTTTTTTAATCTTCCAAGTTTGTTTCTTCTATCCTACCTGTTTAAAAAACTTCATGTATTTGGTTGTTCTAACCACACATGACCTAGGACTCTCTCCTGCTCCCCTTCTTGGGTTGTTGTTTTTTGTTTTGTCTTTTTGTTAACAACCTTTGGAAGGTTGTAGTACAGCATAGGAAGAGTACTGTGGAGAATGAAGCTGCTTACTGCTTTTGTTCATATATTTTGTCCACTCAGAATCCTTACCCCAAGCCTTTTTTCCATTCATGGAGGAAAAATTTCTCTCTCTCTCTTTCTCCCTCCCTCTCTTCTCTCTCTCTCTCTCTCTCTCTCTGTGTTTCTGTCTCTCTCAATCTGCCTCTACCCACTACTTACAGTCAAAGGTGCCATTGGGGGTGGGAGCAGGCAGGATTATTTTTGAGCATGCAAGATTAGGAACAGCATCTAATTTCATCCTATTCTTAAAGGCCTTCCTCACACTTGCCTTGCACCAAAAACCATGTTGTTTGTCCTCTGAGCAGGATTTAGTTTGAACTTAACTGTACTTGCAGTTCCTTGCAGGTGCCACTGTTCAATGCCCTCAAGTAGTTTCATGCCCTCAAGCAAACATATTCCCTATTATATCTCAATGTTCCTTTTGGGATGTGTGTGAGTGTCCCCCCCCCCCACAGGTGGGTTTCCTCTGCCAAGGTTTGGTGAAAGAAGCTGTCTCTCCTGTGGCATTTACCTTTGCCTGCCCCTGGAGGAACCTGCATACTTCTTTCTCTTCTCTTTGAACCAAGTGACCTACTTTTGATCTCATCTTCTCCAGATGTTAGATGGTGACCTTTATGAAAGACTTCGGGACCAGCTAACTCTGGTTAGCAGGACAGAGTTGGAAGCTTGCCAAGGCACCCAGGAAATCTTCCAGAGTGTGCTAGATGCATCTGCACAGGTAACAGGACCATGTGAAATAGGACCAAAATAGCTTCCCTAAAGCACCTCTTTGCCCTGCTGTGAGAAATCTGCAAGTAGTGTGTTATATATCTGGAAAAGATTTAACCAGAAAAATGGGGTGACAAACATGGCTCCTCCAGTACCTTTGCTCCAGTGGAAATCAGAGCCCTCCCCCACCCCCGCAGCTACTTTAAAGTTTTAAAGTTTCCAGCTTCGCCAGTACCTTTGTTCCAGTAGAAATCAGAGCCCTCCCCCCACCCCCGCAGCTGCTTTAAAGTTTTAAAGTTTCCAGCTTTGTAGGCATTGGCCTTGTTCCTCCTCCCTGTGTAGTAGATATTTCCTTGTGGTTCAGTAGTTCCCAGTTGTTGAGGAATGAACTCTCAGTGTCTTAGTTAACCTGAATGTTACTGAATAGTTAAATTGAAGTGTGAGACCAATAATAATAAGAAGAAAATTATAAGACAACTAAGGGCTGCACAGCCTAGGGCTCAGTTGCACCAGGACTCTTTTTTGGCTGGCCCTGTTTGGAGTGCTCTGGGTGGATTTTAAACACCTACTGTTGGGAGTGTTTTCTACAGGTTGCCTCTAAGCCCTAATAACCCACCAGTAGCAGGGAGGGGGGAGAGAGAAATGTGCTCCTTTGAATGCATCATCAATCATTTTTCTAGCCTCTAGAAGTCAATGATACTGTATGGCCTGCTGCACCTGAGACACTCTCAGATGTTGAAATAGGCTGGAAAAAGTCAAAAGTCTTCTTGGTTGTTACTGAGTTGCTCAGAAAGAAAGAGGGCAGAGGAACACACAAAGAAGCGAACTGAGGAGAAAAGGCAGTACCAAATGGGGACCCCGAGTTCTGGAGGGCAGGGATAGCTGAGAGATGGGATGCAGAGAATCCTGCAAAGAGGGAAGAGTTTGTGCTTTGAAGTTCAGAGAAGAGTGATGATGCAGTCAGTGGGCATGGAGATCAGCCTCTGGGATGAGGAATCAAAGTTGACAAGTTATAGACTGTGATGCCAAGAAACCTTGTAGCTGTGCAGAGAAAGATTCAAGAGCACAGTACAAGCCGCTGGGATACGTGGTGGGTGCTTACAGAGAATATGTTAGAGCATGAATGCTATCTTTATAATGTGCCAGAAAATCCATCCTTTTCTATGGCTAAACAAAAGTTTGAGCTTCTTTTGAGTTTGTTTAAAAAAAAAAGTCATTTTAAACCTTTTCTTTCCCTCCAAATTAGTTATTGCACATATTGGAACTGAATAGCATGTTTTTCATAAAAGCAAACACTTACAGCATTTCTTTTAAAAAGTACACTGAGGCTGAAGGCAATTCAGCTTTCTCATGTTGAGAGAGCAGTTCCTCCAGTAGGATAGTCTGGCCGTGATTCAGTTAAGACAATGTCCTCTCACCTCACCACGTTCTCAGACTCCATGCAGAGTGACTTTCTCATGCCATTTCCTGTTCCTCTTTCTCTCTGGCTATTTGTGCAGGTCTGCCAGGAGCAGAATCTCCTCCTTTTCCTACAGGATAGTGCTGTTTTTTCCTCACAGCCCTTTCAGCCAGCAGGAACTGACCAGGCGGTAAGGAAGATGGGAGTGAACCTTCCGTCACTTAGATCCAGGGGGGAAGACAGGTGCTTTCAAGTAGGACTGTTAACATTGCTTTCCTTCCCAGCCCACACTCCTGGATGTCAGTGGCAGCAGTTCTGTGGAGAGCGGTCTGGAAAAGGAAGCACGCCGCTGGGCTACTAGAGCAGCCAGAGATTATAAAATCCAGACTGTCAGTCAGCAGGTGAGCACCAGGGCCTTAACTTTGTTGGGAACTTTGCTCACGGCAGGACTTCACTGTTAAATGAGAGTGTGTATTTCCTTTTTTCTAGTTACACTTTATCTTCAAACATGGATGGGTAAAGAGGTATGGAAAAGAAGTGGAATGTCCAGAACTAAAAATGTCTCTCTAAGAGTGGAATGACACCCTTCAATGACTTAATTCACCCTTTTTTCTTTTTCTTTTTTGAGGCAAGGCTAAATGAAAGTCCTTATTTCCATCAATGGGGAAAATTATTTCATGATTCTTATTCATGTCTAGATAGACACAGGAGGGTTTCCCACAGAGGTTATGTCTCATTTTCCCTTCTCAACCCATTTTGCCTTTTCACAAAAATGAGGGAAGGAGTGTGTGTGTCAGAGTCTGCAGTGGCGTGCAGGAAGAGGATTATGACACCGTTGTTGGAGCAATATCTTCTTTCCTGACACCCTATCTAGACACCCATTTTGCATGTTTTTAATTATTGTGACAGCCCCTTCCCATACATATGTTCCTCTATAGAGTTGTTACGTTCTTTCCATTTTTCCACACTTAAATCTTAATATGCACTAACAATTTATATAGTTGATGAGATTTTCAGAGTTTTAAGATCTGAAATTTTGGATGCTGCTGTGAGTTCATTGTTTACAGCTAATTGTAAGAGCCGCAGAGAATTGTTTATTGTCAGGTAGCAGTCTTGTAAATGAATAAATGGATTGGAACCTAGCCTATAGGTATAAGGTGTGTTATTAGTTCAGATATAACAACAGGTTTGTGGGCATTCACTGTAGGTGGGTGTTTTCCTTTTTCCAGACAACAGTAATAGCCAGATGCAACTTAATGACTCAGATACTGGATGGAGGATACCTCCTCTAAATCTGATTCAGCCAAAGTTTACCCCACCTTTAAGGGCAGAAAGCTTTCTGGTGTTCTGTTTAGGATGACCTACAGTAGTTAAAATACAGGATAAGAAAAGGGTCATACTATACTTCCAAAAAAAAAAAAAAAAGGAAGAACCTAGTGGTCTTCATCCATCCATCTATTCATTGGGAAGATTCCTTTGTCCACTCTTTGCAGGTGAATTCAATAAGGCATATGCACAGACTACCAGGCTCAATATTTGCCTCTTGGCAAAGGCATAATAGTTCATTCAATAAGAGATACTGTGATTCTAGCAGGTGTTGCTGCCCATGCTATCACTGTACAGCAGCCACTTGGCTCCAATTTTCTCCTTTTTATGGGGGACCACAAGATCAGGCTTTTTGCTCCAAAGTATCTCATATTTGGAAAAGATGTGTTGCAATACAGCAGGCAGAAACAGCTTCTCATTTTGGAAAGAGCTCATCTTTTCTATACATTCCTTTTCAAAATGTCCTCCATGCCTAATACTATACAGGTCTTGTTGCTATTGAGTAAGATTAATGAAAGAGAGCCTCTTTCCTTGTGTTTACTTTTATCTATTTTCTCATGTTATGTGTTGTTAGAGTTTGATTCCAGCTGGGTGTTTCTCTGTTGTGTGCCTTGTTTGTTCAGCAATTTTTAATGGCTTGTCTCAAACTGAAATTCTTCTTGCCCCTCTAATGGGGGCAAGAAGAAGCATAATCCCATATTCCAGGAATAAGTAGGTTTGTTAATCATTTGCAGATCATTCTCTCATCTCCAGATGAAAGGAATACTCTTGTTAACTCCAGTGTTTTTCCCCCCAGTGTTTTGTTTTGTTTTTGCAACTGTTACTTGCACCAATATTGCTTGGGTCTATCTTGTGTTCATTGTGGAGTTGTGTAGATTTTGCAGAGAATGGAAGCCAGAAGGCAACAGGTCCCTGAGGCAGAGATGACCAGCATGGAGAAAAGGATAGAGGAAGTAAAAGAGAATATACGGAAGGCAGAGGTGGGTTGCATTTCGTGTTTCTTGTCTGTCACAATGTGCCTGCTTGATAAGTGTGCTTTGTGCCATCAGTGGTGCCCTGCTTTATGATTGTCCCGCATTACGATGAATCCGGTCTGTGTGTGTGTGTGTGTGTGTGTGTGTGTGTGTGTGTGTGTGTGTGTGTGTGTGTGTGTGAGAGAGAGAGAGAGAGAGAGAGAGAGAGAGAGAGGGAATCAAGTTATGGAATAGACAGAATGCCTGGATTAAACAAGTTGTTCCACCTAATTGAGACTTGGATGGTTTATTCTTTCCTGGTGTATTTAGCAAGGAAAAGACGGATGCTTCTCAATCTTCCATCTCTGTATTGTATATGATAAATCCAGATCCAAATAATTATACAGTGGTGCCCTGCTTTACGATTGTCCCGCATTACGATGAATCCGCTTTACGACAATCTTTTTGCGATCACAACACGATGGCCTAAATGGGGGAATTTCACTATGTGAGGATTGGTTCCCTGCTTCGGGAACCGATTCTTCGCAAAACGATGATTTTTCAACAGCTGATCGGCTGTTTCAAAATGGCCACCGGGTAAATAAAATGGCTCCCTGCTGTGTTTAGGGACGGAATCCTCGCTATACAGGCAACGAAAATGGCCACCGTATGGAGGATCATCGCTGGACGGTGAATTTTAAGCCCATTGGAATGCATTGAAAGGTTTTCAATGCATTTCAATGGGCTTTTTATTCTCGCTTTACTATGTTTTCGCTTAACAGCGATTTTCCTGGAATGGATTATCGTCGTTAAGCGAGGCACCACTGTATTCTTGTACTGAGAGAGATGGAAAGAAGAAAGATGTAGAGAAGACAAAAGATTAATGGATGGAGAGGACTTGCAAGCAAATGTAGAATTTGCTCCTTTCTTTGCTCTGTTTCTGGTTGGATTTGGAAGGTAATTGAGGGAAGGGGTATTGTTTGCTTGCTCAGTCACAGGACAGATGTTGTTCTCTTTTCAGATCAGCAAGGTGAAGTCTGAGGCACGGATAGCATTGCTGCGTCAGGCAGGCCTGGATGTAGACACTTGGCTGGCAAGTGCCATGGGGCAAGTTCTGGATGAAATGGAACAAGAGCGCCGGCTTAGTGAAGCTCGCCGATCTCAGAGGGGCTCAACTCCTACAGTAAGAATTGTCTCTCCCCATCACTTCTAACACAAGAAGATTCACAAAGGAAACTGAAATCAACTGAACAGACAATCAGCCCCTACGCATGGGTTTATGTCATTCAGACGCAAATTCCAGCCACGTGGGATCAGCACACAGAAAGAGCCAGAGGCTGGAGATGTATCTGAAAGGCATCCATACATAGAAGCCTTGTAGTTCTTTGTTCAGGTGTTGATGAGAGTATTATTTAAGGCAGGGAATGGGCAAGTTTTATGGGTCTGCCTCCAAACTCTCCAAGGGCCTCACAGATTACCAAAAGGCCCCAAAATGGAAAAGGGAAAGTGAAAAGTAAAAAGAACTGCCTAAGTTAACTTTCAGTTTTGCAAAACTGAAATGTGGGAGGGAGGCTTAAATTGGTCAGAGGAACTCTAATGTATGTAACAGATAAGTTGTCACTCCTGGAAGCTTGTAAGAGTTACTATCTACCTTTTTTTTCCTGGAAAGCAGGAGAGGAGCTGGAGGGCAACAAAAAAGAGTCTTGAGATTCTTTTTGATCCTTTTGCTGTTTTGCCCACTTCTGGTTTTAGGGAACAAATGAACCTACCTTTGCTGAAGTAGAACTTTGGACCTTCTCTGTGTTCTCTTGGTTTAGGCAAGGAATTGGTAGGCCCAAATCCATATCAGTCTTCAGCTGGATGTGTTTTATAAATGTTAGTATTTACCAACAAACAAAGATACTGTAGAACATTGATTTTTGTTGGTGCTTCCTTTTTCTATCCTCTCGTTGGTCTGATTTTTCTTTGGAGTGAGATTCTCTTTTTGATTCTTTCCCTCTCTCACGTTTGCTTATTCTGTCTCTTGATGTGAAATAACTTGTGAGAGTAATAATGTAACACTTTTCACCAGGCAGAAGATTTTGATCTTGCTGAATTTGAGGATTACGATGACAGCATAGACCTGTTTGAGGATGCAAGGCCAAGCCCAAACATGGCACGTGCCTATCCTTGTTGCTGCAAAGTATTCTTCCCATACCAGGTAATGGCTTCTTTCTCCTCCAGCTTGCAGCATGTCATTGACATAACGATTAGTTAGCTTTTCGAGAGTGTGAGCAAGGACAGCTCCAGAATGTTGAAGTTCCTCAGGCTAAAGACCCTTCAAGAGAGCTTGGTAGCTGGTGAAGCAGTAAGTTTCAAGAGAGCTTGGTAGCTGGTGAAGCAGCAAGTGATACCAATAGACAAAGAACGTTCATTCGCTCCTGTTCAATGGACCAGAGCATGCCAGGCCCTCCTATCCTCCACTGCCCCCTGGAGTTGTGTCAAATTCATGTTGGTTACTTCGATGACACTGTCCAGCCATCTCATCCTCAGTTGTCCCCTTCTCCTCTTGCCATCACACTTTCCTAATATCAAGGTTTTTTCCAAGGAGTCTTCTCTTCTCATGAGGTGGCCAAAGTACTGGAGCCTCAGCTTCAGGATCTGTCCTTCCAGTGAGCACTCAGGGTTGATTTCCTTTAGAATTGATAGGTTTATTCTCCTTGCAGTCCGGGGGACTCTCAAGAGCCTCCTCCAGCACCACAATTCAAAGTCATCAATTCTGATACGAATAGACAAAGAACGTTCATTCACTCCTGTTCCTCTGTTGCTCCTCACCTCTTGGCATTAGCATTCACTTGTATTTTCCCTGTTTCTAATTGACCTTGGACAGTGATAGTGGTCTGGATGCAAGTACACTCACCCACGTTATATCCCAAGTGGCTTGAACTCGGATAGGAAAAGAAACCACAGTTTGTTGTTAGAAGAATGAACACTGTCTAGTCTGTGGCTTGTATGTTTCCTCCTCCATTTCACATAAGACAGGAGGTGATGATAAACTTCCAGTTCTATTTTGCCATAGTTCATAAGTTAAAGTTCATAATCTTAGAATCATGGACTAATGGAATTGGGAGGGGCCTATAAGGCCATTGAGTCCAACCCCCTACTCAATGCAGAAATCCAAACTGAAGAATATCTGACAAAAGGGTGTCTTGCTTTCTCTTCAATGCCTCCTGTGTTGAAGCTTTCACCACCTCTCAAGGTATTTAGGTTCCACTGTTGTACTATTCTTAACAGTTAGGAAGTTTTTCCTGATATTCAGCCGAAATATGGTTTCCTGTAACTTGAGCCCATTATTATGTGTCATGTACTCTGGAATGATTGAGAACGGATTTTGCCCTTCCTCTGTTTGACAGCCCTTTCAAGTACTTAAAGTGCTTCTCACCTCATTTGTGAAGAGGAAGAGGAAGGTCCACAAGCCTTGCACCACTATGCATCTTATTATAGGTCCGTAGGTCCTGGTGTTTGTCCAGATCAACTGGGCACCAGACATCAACATGAGGAGCATTGTCAGTGTCAGACTTTCGCAGAGGCTAAGTAATTAACTATTTAGGCCTGATTAGACACATCTAAAGAAACAAAATGAAATACAAGTTTTATAGAATTGGATTTAAAAAAAGAGGAAGCAGGAAAACCAAACATCTGAAGTAGATAAATTATATTTTCATTATCCTTTCATTTGAAATTGTCTGTTGTTGCTTTGCATGGGAGGGGGAGTTCTACAGTACTATGAAGTTTCTTGGATTTGGTATAGCTTAGAGCCTTATCGCTATGCGAGGCACCACTGTACTATGAAGTTTCTTGGACTTGGTATAGCTTAGAGCCTTGGCATGCCATAATTTGCCCTGCTTGGGCACCATGCTGTTGCTCCTCTTTCCTTCTTGACTTTGTGTGTCTTCTTTCTCATCAGGCTCGCCAATCTGATGAGCTGACCATTGCCCAGGGTGAGGAACTGGAGGTCATTGAAGATGGTGATGTGGAAGAATGGGTCAAGGTTGGTGCAAGGAACAAAGCTGCCTTCCTCTTGGCTGTGGGACTTGAGGAATATGAGAAATAGAGTAATAAAACAATGGAAAATGGTGGTTACACCGGTGATTTCCTCTTTCCTTCTTGACTTTGTGTGTCTTCTTTCTCATCAGGCTCGCCAATCTGATGAGCTGACCATTGCCCAGGGTGAGGAACTGGAGGTCATTGAAGATGGTGATGTGGAAGAATGGGTCAAGGTTGGTGCAAGGAACAAATCTGCCTTCCTCTTGGCTGTGGGACTTGAGGAATATGAGAAATTGTGCAAAACTCTAGTGTAATAAAACTATGGAAAACGGTGGTTACACCGGTGATGATTATGCTTATGGAATAACTTCATGGTCATCTCTGGTAGTGATGCCAGTGCCAGTTGACTTGTTGCTGTCTTAACCCTTAACTACATGTGGGAGGAAGGCAGCAGTGCAAACATCTTCAAAACCGTTTCTGAGTGTCACTTCTCCCACCTGTTTTCAGGCACGTAACAGTGCGGGACAGATTGGGTATGTTCCTGAGAAGTACCTATTGTTTCTGGACATAAACAGGGAATGCCCAAATCCAGATGAGAACAGCCAGGAAGGTTCCTCCGATAATGCCTTAGAGAGGGAGCTGACAAACATTATGAACATGGACTTGATGCTGGAACCTGGAGGTGTGTGTTGCTGAGGTAGAGGGAAACTTTGGGAGTGGGAAGGGATGCACATAAAGATGTGTGCCTCATATGACTCTTCTCTTTCTCCTGTTGAGTCCTGTATGATCAATGATAAGAATTCAAAAGAGCCTTTGTCCAATCTGATGCATCAGTAGTGGTGCTCTTGCCTGCCTGTGAAGGGAATGTGTCATAATTTATTTACATGTTTCCCTGCCTGTTTCTCCAAGAGTGTAGACTAGGAGTAGGAAACATATGGCTCTCCAGATCTTATTGGACTGTAGCTCCCATCATTCCAAGCCAATGATCCAACAGCACCTGGAGGGCTGCACATTCCTCACCCCAGATGGCTGCTGGATCCACTTGTGTATTAAAAACAGCTGTGTCATCTCTTTGTTCGCAGCTTCACTGGTGAGAGCCCTGTATGACTACGAGGGGCAGAGCCCAGAGGAACTCAGCTTTCCTGAGGGAGCCATCATCCGAGTGCTGCCACGGGAGGAGGGAGCTGTAGATGATGGCTTTTGGAAAGGTGACTTCAATGGGAGAGTTGGGGTCTTCCCATCTTTGGTGGTTCAAGAAATAACTGGCACTCAGGAAAAGACTGAGCAGGTGAGTTCCTACATGGCTCAGGAGGAGTCTATTAGTTTCTCCGCTTTCTGTCTCTAAAAGGATAATTCCTAGCCCTACTCTGAAATTTGGCACTAGAATGGGCAGCGGGAGCTGTCTCCACAGGCATGCCCTAATTCTTATGTGGTCTGAAGAGACGTGTTATTCTGGAGACAATTTCCCAAACTGAACTTGGGCTGTGTTTTGGAAAGCCTTGCAACACGTTCAGGCTCAATGTGATACTAGAAACAGGGCTTCTTACCTGATGGGGGAAGGGGAGTAGGATTCTGGTGACAATTATATTGTGCCCAGTTAATAAAGCCCAGCAGAACTTTTCGAGTCCTAATTAATACAACACTGGTACAAAGATACAGGTTCTCCCTCTGTCCTCTCACATAGAGGTGTGGGTTTTGACATTAGAGTAGATGGACTTTGTATGTCCTCTTGTGAAGAGGGTGCTTCTGATTAGATTGCTATCCTGTTCATCCAGTGTTTGAAATGAGAGAGTGTCTAGAGCAGAAGCCTGCTAGTAAACAGTGTCTGTTTTAGAAGCCACAATGCTGGGCGTGGGTGGGAAGGGAGTCAGAGGTGGACAAGTTTAGTAGGTCCACTTGAGAAAGTGATTTTCCGTGGTTAGCGGGTGATGGAGGTGAACCTAGCACATACTCTCCCTTCAGGAATTAAATGTGTATAATTTTTGAAAAAGCCTACGGGGCAAGTGATTACATCTTCTTTTTTCCATTTGATGTCTTCAGAGTTCCCTCTGTTTTGAAAATCATCTGAAAGTAACTGGGCCTTTTCATTTCAGGATCTTCTTTCACCTTCACCTCCAGCATTTTCCCCTCCAGTCCTTGAACATGACACAATGCCTTCTCCTGACATAATACAGGGAGGTGAGTTACATGGAAAGACAGTTCCTGAAGTAAGGTTGTGTCCAACAAAATGGATGCTTAACCTACTTAAAACTACTGTAGCTCAGATGGCACTGTTATCTAAAATTATCCGGAGGATCTGTAATTATAACCGAAAGATGGGGTGTTGGTCCAAACCTCTAGCAGTTTTGCATATTCTTTCGGGCAATAGGAGAGATCATAGCTGTATTTTTGGACAATGTGTATGTAACACTTAGTGAAGGGTAAGGATATGGAGGCTAGTTCTACACATGCTATATAGCAGAATAACAGTTTGAACATTGTTTTATCTGTTTCCAGGTGGCTGGCAACAAAATATGGCTAGTTCCTCTGATCAGAATGTACCACGTATTCGCCCAGTAAGTTGTGCCCAGTATACAGCATGTGAACGACTGGCATGTGCACAGCACAGAATTTGGTTAGATTTTGATCTAGTATTTAATTAGATGATAATGAAGTTGATGATTAGAAAAGTTACTGTTATGAAATATTATATTTATTTATTTAGATTTGTTTTAGAAAAAAACTTACATTTACTCTTAATCAAACCTGCAGTGGAACAGGAGTAGAATGGGAGAGATATAAATTGTGACATTTCATTTAACTAACTTGCAGATGAAAAAAAGTAGTAGAGACAAAAATAACCTCCAGCTTATTGCAATTATGAGTAAAAGGGAGGAAATGAGAGGTTCCTAAAACAGGATCTGAGGGGCTTGGCAATCTGCCTTGTGCACTGGAATTTAAAGTACATGGGATAATACCCTGTTTCCCCAAAAATAAGACCTAACCTGAAAATGCCCTAGTATGATTTTTCAGGATGCTCGTAATATAAGCCCTACCCCAAAAATAAGCTCTAGTTAAGTGAAATCCCGCCCTCCACCATTGTGCAGCAACCAGAAGACGACATGACTGTATTTGAATAAATGTAGATTGCTGTACATTCCCTGAAAATAAGCCCTAATGCATATTTGAAGCAAAAATTAATATAAGATCCTGTCTTATTTTTAGGGAAACACGGTATGGTGTTTATTCTAGTACAGAAGGAGTTGGGCTTACATCAAAGTTGGAGTACCTCCATTTTTTAACTTCCTATGGATTTCATGTTGGGAGGAAAGAGGAAGCTAAAATTGGGGGGGAAATTAAGGCATAAGGCATAGTATATAGCACACTGCAACAATTTCAGTCAACACACTTCACAAATTTTGCCTTTTTGAAAAATTTCTGCAGGTTCGAGCACCCCCGCCTCCACCATCTAAGAATCTAGAAGCTGATTCTTCATCTGGACATGATTAACCCTACACCTGTTTGCATTGCAAAAAAGGCTTAAGTCTTTGCAAGCTGGCAGTACCCCCTAAGCAAAGTTCTTTCTTCTTGGAGTTCATGGGCATATTGCTGCTTTGGTGCCTATGCCCCATTCTTAAGCACCAAAAAGTAAGCAGTGGCTTTGGGTGCTGGGAAGAACATTGTCACTAACAGGAAGAACTTCTCTACTTCAACAGAGGCGGATTCCCCAAATCAGCTTGATTTTGATGGAGAAGTATGCCAAAGAATGGACAGCCATGTGTTTTCATATCTGTCCTAGGCTTGAGCCCTGCAGCCTAACATCTAGAAATTGAAGTCTCTCTCTGGCTTTCAGATGTCTTGAACTACTACTATTTAAAGTTAACTATGCAAGTGTCTTTCATTAGGGTGGGATCTGGTCTTTCTTTGCTTTAAATGCTGGTAGTTGGAGTCCAAGTATTTGTGGCGCTTCTGCTAAGGAAAATAGACAACAGCCAAGCGCAAACTGTTGCTGCTTTTTAAATGAACCATTAGTTCTTTTACTGCCCTCTTCAGGGTGGGCTGGTTCCTGCATGTGTCCCTGAGAGGCAAGAGACGGGTAGGTATTGATCCAATAAAGAAACATCATTCTGCACATTTTGAGCGCCTTTAATATAGTTTCTGTTTTGTTTACATTGTATTTGAACGTAAAAAGATGGAGGGGGAAGAAAGAGGTGGTGGTGGGTTATTTAGGATGGATAGAAGAACAAGGCAGGAGAGATCCAGATGATTTCTTAACTGGATGATCTCCAAGTTGAGTTTTCTGCTCCTAAGGAGGAAACCTTACCCCAGAGTTCTCATGAAGGTATTCATGGGTTTGTGTTGTGCGAAGCCCCACCACCACCAGCAACAACAACACACATTCCACACAAGTGCCCACACATATGAGGCTGAGCACCACAGCAGTGCTCAGGGTTAGGTGCTGCTTGGTTGTTCCTTGGGAAATAATGTGGATAATAGAACCAGAGCAAGACCCTTATAGGGAACCATTAGGACGGAGAGCGCCTAATGTGTGTAATTATTGCAGTCCAGAGGGAAGGACCCTCCTCCTATACTAAATGAGGCAGAACTTTATACAATAAGAGAAAAAAAGGCAGCCCCTGAGTTATAATAGGAAAAGTTCGAAGCTGCCTAGCTCATCCTCTTTGGGCAATTTAGGGCCCAACTTCCAGCCTTACATTAATTTCAGGTCTGCTTGTTTTCTGGACAGGGTGGGAGAGGACATTCCGATTACTGTAACTGTCCTAACCCCTGAGTCTTAGCTAGAAGCAAGGACCATGGAACTCAGCTTCATTTTAAAACACTGGTTCTCTTCTCAGACCTGACTGGCATGCAGGAGAACAATGTTGTTACTGAAATTGTACCATCTGGAATCGGATTTGATAGCCATCCTATCTCAACGCAGGAGCCTAACCAAAAAGTGAATGGTTCAGAGGCACTTCATGGTCGGATCACCTAGAATTCCTTGGGAATAGTGTAAGGAGAAATGAGCAGTGGGCAGGGATCATTTCTATTAGTTGCCTTCCTCCATCAGCAGCTGAGAGCTTCAGTTCACAGGAGACAAATGTGGGATTCTTAACAGCACCCCATCATGATGAAACATGGGACTTCTGCCATTTGAGGAATGCTGGCGGGTTCTATCATCTCACAAGATATATGGCTGCAAAATATGAACTTCAGCAAAGCTTTGAAGGGAACGAGGAGGCAGGAATTTCTAACCATGTGGATAACTCAAGGACACGGTCCTGACCCTATAGGAAGCTGCTCTGCTGTGATATGGGTAATTCTTGAGATGAGGATGGTGATCTTGCCAAATGGAGTAGTTTTACTGGTTGAAGCATCACATCCTGGTGTCAGTCTGGATATACCAAGCACACAATACCTTTACTGGCTCAGGCCCAGCTTGATTTGGCAGTCTTATTTTTGTTAAGCTGCATGTCAGCTTTATATGCATCACTCTATTTGGCAGCCTTGAGTGGCTAGGATCTGAAAAGAGAAATGTGGGCGGAGGTTTATAACTGAGAACTTCTACAGAAACAGATATAATTTTAGATTTTTAAAGACTTAGGAAAAAATTGTAAGTTAAGTATGAAGTAAGATTAGTAAGAAACATATCGACAAATGTAATAATGATATATACTGTTCTTTATCACATTCTGTATTTTTTATTTACCCAATATCCTGATCAAACTCCACTTCCCTATAATCCTACTTAATGGAAAATAAATAATAATAATAAAAAGAACTACTACAGAAACAAGACTAGATGTATTTTAGGCCCTTTCCCAACTAATAGCTAGTCTCACTGGTTTAAATATCTGGCTGCAGAGGCAGAGGTTGAGAATTCAGTTCTCCACCATGGATGTATTTTAGGCCCTTTCCCAACTAATACGTAGCTAGTTGGATAGCTCAGTGGTTTAAATATCTGGCTGCAGAGGCAGAGGTTGAGAATTCAGTTCTCCACCATGCCTCCTGTAAATAGAGCCAGCAAGGGCAAGCTGCACAATCCATGGGCACCCCCAGAAGAAGGGAATGGTAAGCCACTTCTCAGTACTCTCTACCTAGAAATCCCTGCCAAGGCTTACCCCAAGTCAGAGTCAACTTGATGGCATGCAATTATTATTTATTATTCCCACCTTGCATGCAGTGGCAAAGATAGATAGCCTCTGTAATGTGCACAGATTTCCACGCTTGGTTGCTGGTCCCATTTTCCTACAAATATTGTTGTAAAAGGTTGTTTCATAATCTTTCACATCTTTCACTATGATGTCTGCAATATAATGTATTGCTCCTTGGTCAGCAAAGAATAAAATAAAATATAAATAAAATAAGATTTAAAAAATCATTAATAGGAACATAAGGTAGGAGGAAAGTATGCAAAATTGTGAAGAATGTTCACCTCCAATTGTTGACTCCTCATTAGAAAATAGGAAACCCAATAGCACTTCATGTATGGTCACTGGTATCATACATTTTTTCACTTCATTTCTAGCAATGTAAGAACTGGTGGCCAGTAGCTGAAGTGCATAAAATCTAGTGCCCAATGAAAAATATTGACAAATTTGGAGAAGCTGGGGCATTTTTCAGGCATATTTCCATGGGCCTGGGAGACTCTACAGATCTTTTTGAAGGAGGCATTCCATAGTACTGCAGCTGAACAACAGGACAACAGCCAATAAGCATTACAATGTCAAAAGAGAGAGAGATGATCTCTGCATCCCACAGTCCTAAAGCTTTGCACATTTTAAAAGAGTAATGAGGATTCTTCTTGTCCTCTGCCTTCCTAATAACTTGGAGGGTTTACAGCTGGTTAAATGCTGTCATTGACCAAACATCCCCTTCCTGCCACTTTTGTTCAGTGAAGCCACAGAAAGAGGGAAATTTTCAAATGAAAACCCCAAAACACTGTTGAGGTTACTATTTTTGTGCAGACATTCAACTACCATCTCCATGCTACTTAACTCGCCCATTTTTCGGATCAAGACACAGTAGTGCACCTTCAGAAATTTGTAAAATTTTTGTTGTTGTTTAGTCATTAAGTCATGTCCAACTCTTTGTGACCTCATGGACCAGAGCACGCCAGGCCCTCCTATCTTCCACTGCCTCCCAGAGTTGTGTCAGTTTCATGTTGGTTGCTCCAATGACACTGTCCAACCATCTCATCCTCTGTCGTCCCCTTCTCCTCTTGCCCTCACACTTTCCCAACATCAGGATCTTTTCCAAGGAGTCTTTTCTTCTCATGAGATGGCCAAAGTATTGGAGCCTCAGCTTCAGGATCTGTCCTTCCAGTGAGCACTCAGGCTTGATTTCCTTTAGAATGGATAAGTTTGTTCTCCTTGCAGTCCAGGGGACTCTCAAGAGCCTCCTCCAGCACCACAATTCAAAGGCATCAATTCTTCGGCAGTCGGCCTTCTTTATGGTCCAGCTCTCACTTCCATGCATCCTTAATGGAAAAACCATAGCTTTGACTATGCAGACCTTTGTCGGCAAGGTTATGTCTTTGCTTTTTAAAATGCTGTCTAGGTTTGTCATCGCTTTCCTCCAAAGTAGCAGGCGTCTTTTAATTTTGTGGCTGCTCTCACCATCTGCAGTCATCATGGAGCCCAAGAAAGTAAAATCTGTCACTGCCTCCATATTTTCCCCTTCTCTTTGCCAGAAGGTGATGGGACCAGTGGCCATGATCTTGGGGTTTTTATGTTGAGCTTCAGACCATTTTTTGTGCTCTCCTCTTTCACCCTCATTAAGAGTTTCTTTAATTCCTCCTCACTTTCTTCCATCAGAGTGGTATCATCTGCATATCGGAGGTTGT